GCCGCCCGCCGGCGCCCGCTTCCCGCCCGGCACCAACTGCACCGTCACCGGATGGGGGCACGTGCGCACCGCCGGTGAGCGCCTGACGACAGCGCGCCACGCGGCGGGGGGACAGGCTATGGGGGTTGGGGGGGACACACGGTGGCACTTTGTCACCCGTTGGGGTGATGGCCGCACCACCGGTGAGCGCCTGACGACAGCGCGCCACACAGGGCAACAGGCTACAGGGGTTGGGGGGGACACACGGTGTCACTTTGTCACCCGTTGGGGTGATGCCCGCACCACTGGTGAGCGCCTGACGACAGCGCGCCACGCGGGGGGACAGGCTACGGGGGTTGGGGGGGACACAGGGTGTCACTTTGTCACCCGTTGGGGTGATGGCCGCACCGCTGGTGAGCGCCTGACGACAGCGCGCCCCTCAGGGGGACACACAGCGTCACTTTGTCACCCGCTGGGGTGATGGCTGCGCTGCCGGTGAGCGCCTGACGACAGCGCGCCACGTGGGGGGACACAGGGTGTCACTTTGTCACCCGTTGGGGTGATGGCCGCACCGCCGGTGAGCGCCTGACGACAGCACGCCACACGGGGCAACAGGCTACAGGGGTTGGGGGGGACACAGGGTGTCACTTTGTCACCCGTTGGGGTGATGCCCGCGCTCCCGGTGACACTCGCCATGAGCGCCAGGTGTTTGCGGGCGACACGGTGTCACCTGCCGGCGCTCCGGGTGACAAACGCTGCTGGCATCCGGCTGACGGCAACGCTCCTGGTGACCAACACCCTGAGGAATTCAAACACCCTGTGGGGGTGTGTGTGTGTGTGTGTGACACAGTCCCAGGCCCCGGGTGACAACACAGGTGGGTGTCAAGGTGACAGGGGGTGACAGCGGGTGACATGGGGTGTCCCCAGGGCCGCTGCCGGCGCCGCAGACGCTGCAGGAGCTGGAGGTGCCGCTGATCGGGCGCCGCCGCTGCCGCTGCCTGTACCAACAGCCGTCGGGCGACGGTGACGACGGCGACGGCGACACGGAGCTGCCGGCGGCCGACACCCTGTGCGCGGGGTTTGCCCAGGGCCGCCGCGACGCCTGTCAGGTACGGCCGCCTGTTGCGCGCCCGGGTGACACCCCCACGCCCCCCCACCCGTGTCCCCATGTCCCCCCGTGTCCCCCCCGCAGGGTGACTCCGGCGGTCCCCTCTCCTGCAACGTCGGCGGCTCCTGGTTCGTGGCGGGTGTTGTCAGTCGGGGCGAGGGTTGCGGCCGCCGCTCCCGGCCCGGCGTCTACACCCGCACGGGCGCCCACGCCGCCTGGATCGCGGCCACCGCCGTCGGGGTGACCCCGCGAGAGCTGCCGCCGGCGCCGTCACCGTCACCC